AGTTCCATGTCAGCCTGTGAAAAGTCACACTTTTACATTTTTATCTTTTATAGTTTCATCTAGTCTAGCAGCTATAGCAACTGCTTTCTCTTGCTCTTGACTTGTCCAGAAAATACATCAGTTTAGACCTGAAATTCCAAGACATTTCAAGATGAGTAAAATACTATGGCTTATACCTTATATGACTTATGGTGACTTAAAATATGGTTTCAGTTGTTTAATCAATGGTGGGCTGGTTCCTACCAGCTCTCAATGTGACACCACTTCTCAATTTCTTTTAAAATTTTTTTTTATCAATACAGTACATATTTATAATACATAATGATTGCATTCATTATGGGGAATTGGTACATGGATATAACATATATCCTTCTTTCCTCAACTTTCTCTACAATGACATATCTTGACAGTTTGTGTCCAGAATGTGAATATCATTATCATGACAAAATGTTACAAAACAGAGCTGTTTTCCTTAACAAATGGTTATTAAACATTTACCCAAAGAACACTACTTCAACTTTCTCCCCTTAAAAATATACTGAAAAATGCAAATGAAGATTAGCCTATAGTATCATTCAGTGTTTCATTTAAAACCATTAACAAAAGGTGATACTCTAAACTAAAACATGAGGCTGGTGAGATGGCTCAGTGGTCTAAAGCACCTACTTAGAACAAGTTTAGCAAAGCCCAGGGACCACGGTTCAATCCCCAGCACCACATGCCAACCAGCCCGCCCCCTGGTGGACTGAGCTGGCCACACACACACACACACACACACACACACACACACATAAATAAATAAAATTAAAAAATAAATAAATAAACTAAAACATATAAGGAACAAATTACTGGTACACAGGAGCATGATTAGAAACAAGAGAAAAGGGGTTGGCGAGATAGCCCAGTTGAATAAGCGCTTGCCTGGCAAGTGCAAGAGCCTGAGTTCAATCCCCAGTTCTGCCAAAAGCAAAAAAAGAAGAAAGAAAGGAAGAAACAAGAGAAAAATATTTGATACTCACAAAAAAATGCAATGTTTTTAAAAGTTCATATTTCTCCTATAAGTTGTTTTATACTCCATATTTGTTTTGCTATTATATTCTTATTAGATCTTTGTACATCAGCTTTTTAAAAAATCACATGTCTGAATTTCTTTTTAACTGGTTTTTTATTTTAATTTTTATGTGCTGAAAATTTTCTTCAGAATTTCATGTAATGTTAGTCAGGCATGGTGGCACCTGCCTGTAATTCTAGTCCAGAGGCTGAAGCAGGAGAATTGCCCTAACTTCCAGGCCAGCATAGCCTACACAGTGAGTTCAAGCCCAGCCTGAACTACATAGTGAGATCCTGTCTTAAAAAAACAAAAAAGAGAACAATTCAATTGTTCTCAATTGTTCAGTTGAAAAACAATTTCAAAGGGCTGGCCAGATAGCTCAGCAGATTAAAGGGGGGGGGGCATTCAACAGTTCTCCTGCTGTGTGGCCCCTGGGCCTGCTGAGAGGGCAAATGAGACTGGGTGTGGTGGTGCATGCCTGTAGATCCTGTGCTAAATACATTTAAAAGAAAAGAAAAAGAAAAACAATTTCATATAGTGCTTACTTTATTTACTTATTTTTTTTTTTAATTTTATGGAAGGGTCTACAGAGTGATCAGGGTCTCCTACTAGATCGGACTCTTAATGATCCGCCTGTTTACAGCCTCCCAAGAGGTGAGATTACTGGTGTGCACCACCATGCCCAGTCTCAATTGCTATCTCAGTGTGCCCTAGGGGTGGGGCCAGCAAGCTAGGCCCAGGGATTGAACCCCCAGCCCTTGCCCCTGCTTGCATCATATAATGTTTATAAAAGCATTTCCTACCATTACTAAAAAAGTTTTCTATTATTTTTTGCAGAGAAATTTTTACCTGCTCCTGTCACCAAGAAATGTAATTTTTCTTAAGTAAGATTTTTTTCTATAAATATTATATGAGAAGGTAATCTGTAACAAGAAAGCTTAGGTTAAAATATTTAAATTTATGGATTAAAAGATTCATTATGGTACATTTTCATTTTGCTTCTAATTTCTTTATTTACAACTTTTCTGAGTTCAATGTATGCCATACTGTCATCTTATGAATTTGTATAAGCTCCAAAATAGTTCCCCTAAGAAGATGGGAAATAAATAAATTCTCAAGATAGAAAATACACAAAAGCAATAAACAGTCAAGAAAAAAAAAGATACTCATAAACACAACTCTCAAAGGCAACATTAGGGGCCGGGGAGATAGCTCAGTAGAATAAGCGCTTGCCTGGAAAGCTCAAGGGCCTGAGTTCAATCCCCTGTTCTGACAAAAAAACAAAGGCGACATTAAAGGTTGGTATACACTTTCTTTTCAGCCTTTTCCCAAGCATATTTTTACACAGTTGAGATTATTCTGTATATTCAATTTTTTAGTATATTATAAAAGTATTCACTACTATTATTATGAATCATTTGAATAAACATTATTCTAAATTACCAAATGGTAGTCCATCCTACCATTACATCATTGCATTCTAACTGCTACCTTAATTTCCCTTTGGCAGGTAGGTTCTGGGGATTAGAATAGGTACCTTTAATTAAAGGGCCATTACTCTTACTACCACAACACAATCCTATGTACTGTTTTTTTGTTTGTTTGTTTGTTTGTTTGTTTGTTTTTTGGTGGAATTGGGGATTGAACTCAGGGCCATACACTTGCCAGGGAAACGATTATTCTACTGAGCCATCTCCCCAGCCCTCCTATGTATTTTTTCCCCCATGAAGAGTCTATTCTTTTATTGGTTTTCATACATTTTAAATTTCAACTTTCAATAATAAAATTCAATAAATTTGATTGCTTAATCATAAAAATTTGCTGTGCACATCATTTACATGTTGCCAAAGTCTACAGCCATATAAAACATCACAAGGGTCTGAGTCTACACATGGTTCCACCACACAGGAAGGAGTTGATTAAGATACGTTCAAAAATTAAATTATAGATATGCACAGTGTAATTGGCACTGTTCATTAATATTAACCATCTACTCAGAGACGAATTTCTCAGAACTTGCTATTCACAGTAAAATCAGCTGCTGAACTTTACAACAGTAATCCATCAGTTAAAAAGAAGCCAGCCTCAACCAGAACTGGGAATGAAATTCACACCCTCCCTTCTTGCTCGGCTCTAAGCTACCAGCCACACAGTGGGCTTGATTTGGTAATTTCTCCGTGGTGGGGAGTATCAGAAGGAACAATGTAAAGAAAACACGCTTGACACACATAAAGACACACACTTTTCTCTGAAAGGACTGGTTCTGAAGGGTGCAGAGGGAGCCTGACGACAGAGAGGTGAGAATCTTGCCAGGAATTCCACAGAAGCAGTGCGTTCAAATCACAGGCCAGGCTAGCAGGAGCCGCAGGACGCTTTGGGAAGGCTCCGCATGAGCTCCGGAGGGCTCTTTTCAGAGTACAACAGGGTGAGAACACAGACCACAGCTCTATTTTAACACACAAACACTACTGTGAATGAGAAAAAGTAAAAACCCATACTAAATCCTACCGAGATTTGAGCTATATCCCCATAATTTACTTAACTTCATTTTAACAAAAATTCAATCTGTACTTCAATTGGGCCCATTAAATTTAATTCATTAAAGCTGAACATAATGAAAAATTTTTATAAATCACATTTATATTGTCTACCATGTTCATAAAAGGCTTAAATAAGTAAAATACTCAACAGAACATGAACTATAGCACAAGGTAGCAGAAACAGATTTCTAAGTTTAGAGATGCTTGAAACTCACATAAAACTTGGAAATAAATTACAATTTTAAAAAAATAGAACTATGAAGTGCAAAGTAATGTCACTGGACCAAAATTTAATTTAATCACTTTTAATTCAAGTGTATTTTTAAAATCATAAGTGGGGTTTTCATAATCCAAGGTCAAAACATTTATTCTTCACCACTGTAAAATCTGAGCAAGTCCAAAACACACCTTCCGAAGCTAGGCTTCTCTGCTGCTTTGCAGACTTCTGAGACGCAGGCCGCAAGCGACTCCCTGGGGAACGGATTCCAGGGCCACCAAGAGCTGGGCAAGTCAGCGAGGCAAACAGCCTCAGGCACCAAGAAGGTTTCTGCCTGGCTGGCAGCGAGACAGAATCCGTGCACATCTCCCTAGCAAGGGCTTATCCTTGTTCTCAGTCACAAAAGAGAACATGTAAGAATAAATTATTTCGGTTCATTTTGGTAGTTTTTCCCACAGGCCTCGATCCTCAATCTTTCACACAGTCATCAGTCAGGCTTGCTGAATGAACCCCAGCTGTCATTCCAAGAGGAACAGTCACTTTTGAGGAACAGTGTTGTTCATGCTTCTTTTACATGCTCAGAACGGTTAATGAAAATATTTTACTAACTTTGGATGCTGTGCAGCATACAACTCACCCAACAAAGAAAGCTTCTATTTTTTAGGACAATTTTTACCTTTACTTCTAGAATTACAACTTTTTCATTTTTGTTTCTAATTCAGTATTTAAATTTCTGAACTCCGCATTTCAGTACAGCAAGAGCTCCTTTGCAAATGTTTTCCACAGCACAAACAAAGGCTCCTGAGACATTCCGAGCCACACTGACTTCAGCAGAGCTCAAAATGAGCCTGGACGGACGTGTGCCCCGGGCGTTCCCAGCTCCACCTCTTGGAACTGCCCTCAGATCAGAAGACTTCCATTTACTGAGGCTACAGACTACTCTTGCCATTTAAAGTTTGGTCACTAAGAAAGACTGAAAAAATTATTCCCTTGCCCCAAACAACCACCAGAACAGCTCTGATCCACACGTCTACGCCCCATGAAAACAGGGAAGCAGCAGGGCCTGAAGACTTCACACCTAAAATCTCAGCTCCTACGAGATGGCTGCAGTTCACTCCAGGATGCAGGTTTTTGTACCCCGTTCTCCAATACTTCTCCCATTTATAAGTTTACACACACGCACGCACTCACGCACTCACACACACGCACGCACGCACATGTGCACGCACTGTCTCTCATCTCAAGTAAGACACTTTTTTGTGTTTGCTGATAAATTATGAGGAATATGAACTAGGTGTGAACGGGGCTTCGCAGCGTCTGTGAACACCAGCGCTCCCAGTCCTCTTCGCCCCAGGCCCGAAGGAGCAGCTAGGGACGACTACTTCCCCATGCGCTGCTCCCAGGCCGCGTACTGGCGGAGGGCAGAGAAAAAGTCCTCATAACTGACGTTTAGGTGGGAAGGCAAAGAGACAATCTCAGTCAGTCTGATCTGCCAGGGAAGAAAGCCCAATGTGCTGTCCACAGGACCAAACTTCAATATCAAATCAGGATGAGGTGGGGCTGGTGAGATGGCTCAGTGGTCTAAGGCACCTACTTAGAACAAGCTTAGCAAAAAAAAAAGGACCGCGGTTCACTCCCCCAGAACCGCAGGCCAGCCAGCCCCGCCCCCTGGTGGGCTGAGCTGGCCACACACACACAAATAAATAAATAAATTTTTTTAAAAAATCAGGATCAGGGAAATTATTAGAACTAATCAAACCATCCAGCCTGTCCTCATCCAGGTCCGCAGGCCTCCGCCGCTGCGCAGCCGGGCCAGGCCAGCGGCGCGGGCGCG